ATATCGACGCACTCTAAGGTAAGGAGACACAGTCCTCATGTAAACTTTAATAAAGAAAAAAAAAACAAATATAACACCAGGAATTTCAACTTGGTATTTGTAGAAATGTTTTTCACAGTTTGTTAATATTTTGCGGGTTATATAAAACCGAAATAGGTTGCTTAGAATATCCGACGTTCCCAAACGGACCCACGTCTAAGTACAGATCGGGTTCGACGCCACTTATTTTTGGTGATCGAATGAGAACCGATGTTTTCAACGTGACTGACCGTAAGCATCGTCAACATTATTTAGAAATGTGTACTATCCATTTATGGGGGAATCTTTTGCTTTCAATCGTTGTATTTATGTGAGTCTGAGCTGAAAAGCGATAGTGTCCACAGGGTATTCGCCCTCGACACATTGATAGCTATTCCAAGCTTCATGTTGTCGGATGTCATAAGATACATCACCCACTTGGCCCGTGGTGTTTTTGCAAGTTAACCATTCAACATTGTTCAATTCGTTCCACTGCCATTCCTATAATGGAATGTTTATATTCACGTCTCCTAATGCCAACCCAGCTCAACTTTCGCTGCAACAAGTTAGACAACATCCCTGGTCAGTTTAGTTGCCAAACATGTTTCCAACTTAATATATAAGCAATATGATGGAACGACGCTTACCTCACCTAGTTAGCTTACCTATAACTCAATTGCAATTATAATAACATATCGCACAGTGTTCTTTGGAGAACAGTGTTGATACCTATGTCTATACTGGCTGTATCGACAAGTATTTTATCTCCGATATTCAAGCATATTCCTGCGGAAACTATTGGACCGTTTGCAATATATATATATATATATATATATATATATATATATATATATATATATATATATATATTGATGGTGGGTTGCAGTTGGATTGGTAGAATATTGTTGTATCGTCAACCAGAATCTGGCGGTAATTAGGAGAGCCATTGATTTGTCTTAAATGTTTTCTTATGGCACTTTGCCCGAAGACGTGAAAGGTCAATCTTCTCGGAAGAAATGTTGTATCATGACCAATATATGTTGATGTTTTTATTTCATCGATAGGGAAATATTCCCGCTATTGACATAAAAAAAACTACTATTTCAGAAAGTGTTTTGTAGAGAATTGTCTTTAGTAACCAGCAGGTTGGGAGTTTTTAATTATTTGTTTAATGATTCTTAGTGTATCTATGAAATATTTTTTTTTATTGTTTTATTATGACTTATGTAATTGGAGATTAAAAAGTCTATTAGCATAGAACGTATAGTTTTAAAGGTTTCACATATATATATTTTTAAATATGAAGAAATATAGTTTTAAAATGTGCTACATTTATGGGATAAAGTGCTCAATATCAGAGATAGAGCGTGTGTAAATATAAAGGTGAACAGGCCTGACGATTGCGTCTAGCATGAAACAGACTGTCGCCTCTAAGTGTTGACTTCTATGTTCACTTTTTATATATATATATATATATATATATATATATATATATATATATATATATATTAAGAATTGGACAAAGTCCGACAATTTATTAAAGACATTTTTTATGTTGAACATTCTTTTTATAGATACAAGTATTTAACTAAATGTTTGTTTATAATAAACAGTATTAAATAACATTTACCGGCCTGAATGTCCGAGAAATTTTCATAGAAAATATTCGTCCTTTGACGGGATTCGAACCTGCATCCTCTACAGAACCGTCATTTACGCTGACGTGCCTTAACCGACTCGGCCACAAAGGAGCGTTCGGTAGGTATAAGCAGTAAATTCGACCTTGCCTACTGACCGCTCCTTTGTGGCCGAGTCGGTTAAAGCACGTCAGCGTAAATGACGGTTCCGTATAGGGTGCAGGTTCGAATCCTGTCAAAGGACGAATATTTTCTATGAAAATTTCTCGGACATTCAGGCCGGTAAATGTTATTTAATACTGTTTATTATAAACAGAGCATTTACTTAAATACTTGTATCTATAAAAAGAATGTTTTAACATAAAAATGTCTTTAATATATATATATCTTAAGAAAGAACAGATGGAGTTAGGGTCCACAGCATTTACTTTTTAAAAAGTTCTCAATACAAAGCTAGAAAAAATATAATCTATATATATATATATATATATAGTGGAAAATCTATGACAAATTGGAAAATTTTCGTGTGGCTGGTTTCATTCTTTAGGACTTCGGCGAACCAAAACGATATTTATGCTGATGCGACTAAACATGTGCCCGAAGGGAAAGGTACATATGTGTATTTAAATTTAAAAAAATATGTTTTGGCCATATAGTCCAACCGATGTCATTTAGTTTCTTTGTTTCTTTTCATCACTTTTGTTATGAAATATTGTGGAAGGTGAAATGTTGTAAGAACCTATATACTGTGGATGAGGGATCCCTGTTACAGACGTATTCCAGGCAAATTTTGTTTTTTCAGCTCTCACTGTGTTGAACTGTGATTTATACTATACTTAGCGTACCTTAGGTACAATTTCCCGGAGATAGCACATTATCTAGCATGATAAACACTCTGAACAAAACCAGTACGCTGGTCATGATGACTTTCGACGTAGTGCTAGCATAACCGTAGACACCAACCAATTAGTTCCTTCTCGCTATTTCTACTCAGAAGTCTTGTATCAACCCAGAAGTAGTGTTTTCAGGCAACTTTCCAAAGGTGCCGCACGTTGGTGTCGCCTTCCCATGCCGATAATACAAAAAAGCTACCTTCCTAACAAATCGAAAAGGATGAGATTCGAATACGATACTAATGGTCGAAAACAAACTTGCTAATTATATTAACCACGTGTCGATTATATATATATATATATATATATATATATATATATATATATATATATATATGTTGACAACAGCAATATAATGCATCAGAAAATTAATAAACAAAAACTTTATATTCTCGTGGCCCGTTATATCAAAGTCAACTCAACACTCAACAAAACGTCTTACGAGTTTAGCAGCAACGTATTGAAGCGCATATAGCAAACATTTAATTCGATTTTGAATTTCTACCAAGTTCCAGTAAACTCACTCTTATTAAAACATTTTTTTCACAAAGATTCTATAGCTACAACGGATAAATTTTAAATTTAAATATAATTACAGATCGCGTTCGCGTGTGTTGTTTTGGTTTTTTTTAATTACCATCACAATGTAATGGATATTTTATTGCAGTTACAATAAGTTTGTCTTTGTAATTTATCCCTGAAGATGATATTGGAAAAGATCGAAAGTACTTGGGTTAGAAAAAGCTACCGAGCCCTCTTTGATGAATTTCATCTTAACATCAAGAAACTGATTAGAGAACTGTAAAGGATCACTGTAATAATAGACACAATATGTCTATATTATTCAATGAAACATGTTTGAATCAAAATATGCTCCCTATATATACATATATATATATATATATATATATATATGTGTGTGTGTGTGTGTGTGTGTGTGTGTGTGTGTGTGTGTGTGTGTGTGTGTGAGAGTGAGAATGTTTACTGATTTGGGAAAGTCGGCTAATGAAAGTTCTATTAATGAAAATGATGTATAAATTATTTCTGGAATATTTTTACAGCAGGATTGAATCATACTTTCTGGATAATATTGCATTTAGACATATAGGTTATCGGTTTGTAAATGCGGATAAAATATCTTTTGTTTTATGACGATGAATAATGAATAGTGTACAAGACATGAATTATGTGACTCTGTCAGTGAGAAGTATTTCGTACAAAATATCCTGGTACGTAAACTGAGTACAAATTCAGTTGAAAGTAAAACCTTACAAAATTCATTCGGTTATTTAACAAAATGGATTAACACGTATATTGCAATATAATTTATACATTCTTATACGGCAAAAATCATTTCTATGATCTAACTTATATCAGTAGAACAAAACAGCAATCTTTACTTCTAAAAATACCTTTTTAAGAAGAGAACATACAGTACGTAATATTTAAAAATATTAAATCTTTTATAAATTCTTAATTTCAAGCCTAGCAACGCTAGCTACAATTGTATTTACTGCAGCATTCGTAGTAACCATTGTTGAGGTACGACATTTATCTGTGAGAAATTATTCGATCTGAGAAAAACAAATGTTATGGTATTATCAAGTCAAAATATTCTGTTTAATTAAATTACGTTTTACAACTATACCGTATTAAACAAGTAAAAACAACAGTAAGTTACTGAATTTATTATTATTACATGCATTAGGAAATTATTCAAATATTTCTCATATCGCCAGGTGTAGTTAGCTAAATTTTGAATCGATAATTCATGTGAAGTAATGATAATAAGAAGAATAGATCTTTTGCTGAAAATATTATTTCGACAGAAATTCTATCATAGTAAGAGCAATTCTATTGCAAGTTATTTTCTTTGTCCGTAGGACGTGTATACATTTTGTATATAAAATATATACATATAAGATAAATATTAATTGTGCTTTATTTTAACCACTTTACTACAAGGTGATTGAAATGTAACACCCTATTTTATCTACGATGGATTCTCCCGTCTTGTGAAAGATATAGTTAAACGGGAGAGATCATAATAGGGAGTTACTTTTCAATCATCTTGTATATAAGCAAAATTTGAATGCATCAAGTATATTCAATGAGAAATGCTTACAAAATTGGGCAAATTTCCTGTTCTATGCATACAAATGTATGTTCGTCGGAATTATTTTCAACTTTTACGAGTTATTAAAAAAAAATGGTTTGAAGGAAAAGCGCGCATGCGCATTTTACCGACTTCGTGTACTTCCTGTCTTGAGAATGAATTGATTTCGGATTCGATTATATCCTCGTTTTTGTTGACGCATCGTAGAGAAAAAGCGAAACAAAAATGGAAGTGTTTTTAAGCAACATTAATTGTTCTTCAATGGACCAAGAAAGATTTATAGCTTTTGTTGAGAAACGTTATCCGTTTTGGATTTTCGCTTTTAGTTTATGTAGAATGTTCTTTTATTCTGATGTTCAATTGCGTTATATTTTTCCTATAGAAGAGATTGTTATTTTATTTTATTCTTTATTTTTTTTCTTTTTCTCCTTTTATCTACGTCTTTCTCTCTATTCTTTATTAATATTTCTTTTCATCTGTTTCTCAGACACTGCTTCTCGTTCTGTCTTTTTTTTTCTTTTCTTGGACTCTATTTGCTTCTTCTCTCTCTCTTCTGTTCTAATATTCAATATTCTCTTTCTCTTTTAATTTCTAAGATTCTATTCTCTCTTTTTCCCTCTACATTTCTAAGATTCTATTCTTTCTTTCTGTCTCTTCTTCTCTAAGATTTTATTCTTTTCTTTTCAAAGCTTCTATTATCCATCACTTTCTCTCTCTTCTTTTCTAAGATTCTGTTCTCTAATTCTTTTTCTCTCCTTTTCTTAGATTATTCTCTTTCCTTTATAAAGATTCTCTTCTCTTTTTCTCTCTCTTTTTCTTAGATTATAATCTCCCTTTCTCTCTCTCTTCTTTCTCACCCTCCATTCTTCTTCTCTCTCCTTTTCTCACACTTCATTCGCTCCTTCCCTCTTCTTTTATGAGTCTACATTCACTCTTTTTTTCATTCACTCCCTACGAAACTTCTCTCTTCCTTTCTAACATTCTATTCACTCTTTCTCTCTCGTTTTCTCACACTCCATTCGTTCCTTCTCTCTTTTTTCCTTAGCTTTCTATTCAGTCTTTTCCTCTCTTCTTTTCCCACATTCTATACGCTATTTCCTTTTATTCTTTTCTGAAAATCTATTTGCTCTTTTTCTCTTCTTTTCTCAGATTCTATTCTCTCTATCTTTTTGTCTCTATTTTTTTCTCTCTCATGATCAGTTCTGTTATTATTTCCTTTTTCTTATGTTTCGATTGAATCTCTTACACTTTCTTTCTGTTTATTGATCTCTTTTTGCTATCTTTCCTCGGTCCTTTCTTTATTTCTATATTTCCCCTTTTTTTCTTCTTTTTATAGTTCTTCCTCTCCATTGTCTTTGTTTATGCATTTATTTCACTGCATCTTTATTTCTTTCTCATTTCCCTTTTTCCATGATTTCTTTGCTTTTATCTTTCTTTTCTACATTTCCTATTTTTTCTTTCTTACATTTTTCTTTTTTCAATCGTTTTTTTCTTTTCATTGTTCTTCCTTTTTTTCTATATTTCTTGCTGTTTGTCTTTCTTTTTATCCATCACCTCTTTTTCTTTCTTCTTCCTTTTGTTTTCTATATTTTTGTTGTTTTTCTTTTCTTTCTATCCATTGCTCTTTCTTTTCTTTTTCCTTTTTTTTTCTATATTTATTGCATTTTTCTTCCTTTCTATCCATCACGCTCTTTTTTGTTATTTCTTTCCTTTTTTGCTTCCCTCAGTTACGTATTTACTTACTTTTCCTTTGTTCATTCTGTGTTTTCTTTCTGGTTTGGTTTTTTTTTTCTTTCATTTCTTATTTCTTTCTTTTCTATGTCTTTTTTTTTTACTAGTTTCACTATTTCTTTTTCTTTACTTCTTTCATTTTTTCTATGCTCATTCAATCATAATATGATCATTTCTTTTATTAATACATTACTTCTTTCTTTGTTTCTTTCTTTTTTCTTTCTTTCTTTCTTTCTTTCTTTCTTTCTTTCTTTCTTTCTTTATTTCTTTCTTCCTACTTCCCATGTTTATTCTATTTCTGTAACCGTTAAATTTTAATCTTGTAAATTTCTTTTCTGTTTTCTTCATATTTTTCTTTTATTATTTCCCTCGGGTGTTCTGTATTTTTTATGTTCCTAAAGATATAGTTTCTTTCTTTCTTTTAAAATTGTATTCGTTGTTTTTCTTCGTTGAATTCAGTCATGCGGTTTCATGATATTATTCATAATATTGACTGAATTTTCTTTCATTATTCTCTCCTGTTTACTTTCTAGTTCATTGTTTCATTCTTTTTTTTATTAAATTTCATTTGCTTCGCTTTTCATTTTTCTGTTTAAAAAGTTTTTTGTTTTTTTTGACAGTTCTGTTTTAAGAGTTGCGGGCCCATTACTTTCAATCCATCGTTTTTTCTAGTTTTCTTTTACGCATTTATTTATGTAGACACTTTTTTCATACTTTTCCATTATCTCTTTGGAAGTGCTTGGTGGTGTTTTCCAAAACCGGATCGTCACACCAAGTTGGAATTCCTTTGAAGACTAACCAATTATATTACGTTTACACTCATGAGTGACTAGGAGAGCGAAGATTTACGAGCGCAATCCGCGTTTGTTGGAAGCCCTCCTCCCATAGCTAGTTATACTCACGACGGAGAAACATGTCTTTTCGAATTGGCTAGAAGACATCTGACAGACGGCCGGAAATAGATCTGATAGGTTGACCTATTGTCCAGTTCACATTCCCTCCACCGGTCTTTTGAACAGGAAGAAAGGTTTATCTCTTATTTCTTGATTAGTGTTGGGCTTCCGGTTCCTTCGTTTTCATTCTTTTACTTTCAGTAGTCCGTTGTCTCTTAGCGACGTTATTGGGGTGAATTAATTAAAAAAAGCGATCCCGTCTTGCGAGGCCATTTCTTTTCTTCTACTCTTATTGGGAACATGATAAATATAACTTTGCTATAAACGCATACCAGATTCTGAACGAATACTTGCACTCACCAAAACTAACGCAGCCTAAGAACAACAGTGACAAACTCTACGACATCTACAACACAAACCAAAATAAATGTGGCTCCAGACATAAAAAAGCAGTTTTAAAACGTGTATAAGCGGTTCCAATTAGGGAATATTTACAAATACATACTTTCATTATTCAAAATTCATTGGTTGGTTGATTGACTTTGTTTAGCAGCATATCACCGCCTCTCTGGGTTATTTAATACCGAAATCTAAATATTTTGTACGTAAGTTTATTCATTTTTGAGATAATAATGGTTTTTTGTGATACAATTTTTTACTAATTAACCCATAGTTGGAGAGAAGGATTCAACAGGAATTGAAACTGGATTCTCCGATTAACAATTCCGAAGATGGCGATTGACGTTGCATTAAAAGTTTTGAAGATTGATGTTATCATGGAAAACAGATATCAGGAGGGAGTTCTACAGGTGGGAAGGGCGGGAAAAGAAACTGGTTAGAGTAGTATTGGTGGCTATATCTTAGTTACTCCAACAGTAAAACTGTGAGACCAATTCACCGGTCTAGTAGCACGCTTAAATTTATGTAGTCTGGACACCAGGGGAAAAAAAGCTCATCCGGGTATTTGGCAATTACACCACACGCACGTCCAAACTCACAGAGCCTAATACTCACTAAGCGATCATCCATCTAGATTCTGACGAGGCTCGACGTTGCTTATCGTCGCTTGTCTTACGAGAACTGTTCTTCCAACGTGATGTGTCCGTAACTAAATTCATTGGGTTTGCTATGTAGCCGGAAGAATTGATAACTTCATAGCATGATACGTTGTTCATTTATAATCATCAGGTGGCAACGCTGATGCAAACGATCGAGTATGTGATGCTGCCGTTTGTATGTATAACTTAGGATATGGTAAAATACAGAAAAAAGAACATCTCAATGGCACTGTGTAGTCATTTTTTCTTTTTCCCAGGGTTTTCTTTTCCCACAGGAACCTTTAAAACGTTCAATTCATCTTTCTCATGAACTTGTCACTGGGTTATAACGAAAGCGAGTACTTCACTCGTGCATTTGAAATTCTTCTCTGTCAGCAGCATCTCAATATTATTTCATCTATGTTTGTACCGGAGTTAGTCACTGCCGGTGTGTCTATTCACATGACACTGACGGACCTCGACAGTCCACCACTGCTTGACACTTAGACAAGTTCGTCTACTTATAAACAGATACAGTATCTGCTTTTGTTTAATTTTTTCATCCTAAACAAGGCAACAGTGCCACTAAGACGCAGGTGGTTACAGGGAGTGAAATTGAAAGAGACTGTGAAGACTGAGGTTGGAAGAGATTGAGGAAAGAGCAAAAAAGGAACAGGGTTGAAGAAGACACAAAATGACGATTGACGTTGCATTAAAATTTTTGAAGATTGATGTTATTATGACAGACAGATATCAGGAAGGAGTTCTACAGATGGGAAGGGCGTGAAAAGAAATTGGTTAGAGTAGAATTGGTGGCTATATCTTAGTTACTCCAACAGTAAAACGGTGAGACCAATTTACCAATCTAGTAGCACGCTTAAATGTATGTAGTCTGGACACCAGGGAAAAAAAAGCTCATCCGGGTAGTTGGCATGAACACATTTATAGTACAGAGAGAGGGAAGTTACGTCACATCGGCGAGAAATGACTAGAAACGAACTTTCTGCTTTCTCTGGATTTTGTCAAGAATCTTGAGATGCACATAGAAACACCAGACCAGATATGTCAAGAGTATTCCATACACGGATAAAGGACAGATTTATAAATGTAAAATTCTTTTGCCTGATACAGTGAACCAACTTCTCTTGCAGCAATACATTTCTTTATTATTTCCTTTATATTTTTTCTTACTTCACACAATTAACGTTGTCTTCTTTTATATAGTGACTTTATTCTTTATTTATTGAACGATAGAAAAATTTTAAGTTCTAGTGTCTAGTTTCGTTCCAATCATAATCGTTGTTAAAACGAACAACAAAAGCATGTTAAATAGATTCAAAATACAAATGAGGGATGCGTTCGTATCTTCAAAAGCCAACCACCAGTCGGCAAAGTAAACGGAAAATCTATTGTCAATAATAAAAAAAAAGAAACACATTGAAATAAAGAAAATAAAAACAATAAAACAGAGTCTCTAAATCTGAAATATTTCTTTAGTTTGTTTTTTCTCATGTTCAAATATAAGCGAAAAGCAAAGCAAGTGATGTAGTTAATATGTCTGGACAATATTTACAAGTTCAATGAATGGCAACTTTGGTGGTCAGATGATAATATCGGACAACGATAATCGATTTTTCAATACAACCTTTTTTTTATTTTGCTTCTTTAGATAAGTTTTCTATTTTCTTATTTGTTAATGTTTTTACGTGTTTTTTTTTTTGTTTTATGACAATTTTCATTTTATTTTGCAATTCTTATTTTTTTTACTAAAATAAAGAATGGATAAAAAACATTTGAAAATAACGTGCCTTTTCTGTTTAGTACTCAATGATAAAAAAAAGGCATTCTCTTCAAGTTGCATTAATTTAAAAAAAAAAAATAAAGTCGTAGAAATCCACTGACTCTAGAATACCCGAAAGAAAATCGATAATTTAGAAGCCTTGCACGCAGATACTTGCGGAATCTTTATATTAAAATACTATATTATAATAGTAATGTAATTAGTATTCAAAATATGTAGAATTAAACGCATCGACATATAAAGATATGTGGTAAAAATATTTGCTATTGAAAAGTACGTTTTATCATTGATAAGTTTATCTATAAAATTGGACTATTTATCAATCAATCTCATTATATATAACTATATATATGCATATATTATTAAGATATTTTTATTATAGCAGATTACAATAAAAAGTTTTTACGTCGCTACACAAAAACTTTCATGTTTCGGAACTATAATCGTTCCTCTTCCAGCAATGGAAGATAACAAATAATAAAAATGATAAAAATTATTTATTTGGGCAATTTAAAAACAAAAAAAAGTGTAAGGCTAATGTCAAAATTAAAAATATACTATTAACTCATTAAAAGTCAGATCTAAGTTAAAATAGAAAAATGAAAAATAAGGTTAGAGGCTGGAGTGAGGTGGGTTATTAATTCATGCCTTGCTAAATTGACACTCTAGACCTGTCAGCGGCGAACATATTGTAGTGAAATCTAGAGTTCAGATATGGTGAAGTAGAAGTTTGAACAAAAAAATTTTACGAATTTTTTAAATTTTTTTTTTATACTACGGAAACTTCTTGAAGTGGTCGAATAGGTAGAGAATTTTTTCATGGAACTTTTTATATTCGGTGCTAATTATATTGAATGAGCAGTAAAATAAGGCAATATTAGAGTTGAAAAAGTTTTTAAAAAAGCTGTGCGGATCATTATATATCGATAAAATACTGCCTATGTAATTGTAATGCGTAAAATATTTACGAAATATTCATTTAACTATAATTTAATGTAAATTTCCTACAATGCCTACATAAAACTGTTAATTCATTTCTTTGGTTTAGCAGAATTTTATTTTTAATAAACTTTATAATATGCAGTTTTTCTTGTAAACACAGGAGACACGGGTCATATAAGGATTTACTGATATATATATTTTGAGTTTATAAGTTATTTTTCTACAGATACAAAATATTTGTGCAAATATTCTGTTTTAATTAAACAGTATTAATTACATTTACTGGCTTAAAGGTTGGAGAAATTTCGTGGAAAATATGCGATTCCTGACAGGAATCGGTCTGTAACCATGCAGAAACAGTCATATAGTCTAACGTGCTGTTAAACTTTCAGCCACAGGGAACTTTCCGGCTAGCAAAGTAAAAGAAAAATAATAAAAAATAACATGTAAACAGAATATATATATATATATATATATATATATATATATATATATATATATATATATATTCTGTTTACATGTTATTTTTTATTAATTTTCTTTTCAGTTTCCACCCTAGCTGGAGGCAACCAGATGTCTATCCACACTGATGAGCTGTGAAATAGCGAAACAGTCTGTCTGTGGATGACGGTATATATATATATA